AGGGTATGGATACAAAGCCCTATGTCCTCCTCTCATGTCCCAGCTTTGCTTCCAGCTGTACACACTACAGCTGTACACAGCTGTACACACTAGTGTACAGCTGTACACACTACACAGCCCTCATCCTCCTCCACAACACACCACGTGGGGCTCAGTCAGCTCGCTTAGTCCTTCAGAAGGCAGCAGGAGGTGAAAGAAAGTGGTAGATCATGGGCCAAGAGTAAATAGGTTGTTATTGGTGGTGCCCACGTTGGCCTGGTAGCCAGCATCTGAATTAGCCCACAGGCCATTAGCTGGCAGTTCTTCTTTAAACTTTCTAAAGGATTAATTTACAGTGTCATGACTGAGACTCAACAAAATCCATGGAGAAACGTGTTTTGAAAAAAATCAGAGAAAAATGGTCTGTAGTTCTTTTTGCATGACTTTCCAGTCCTAATACTACAATATTTGAATAAAACTAAATGATAAGTTAAGTGAACAAAACAGTTAAAATACGATCTTCAGGCAAGGAATTAAATTATCTTCTCTCTGTGAAAACCAACAGTTTTGACTTTATGCTTAAGACCTGAGCTGCACACTTCCAGCTCCTATAGGAATATAACCACTGATGGCTTGTATGTTCTACTGAGCAAGTTGTGTTTGCTTTGATAATCCTGATTTGTGCATTCAAATTCATATACTGAAAATTAAAATTGCAATTTTTTTTTTTGCAAAGAATGTGACAGGACTAATTTTTTAAATGCATCTGGATAACCTGTTTCAAGATACCTCTTTAATCAGCTTTATTTAGCTTACTTCACATTTGCATTTTATATTTGGCCTCATTTGTATTGCCACATTACACTTTGTTTGTATGACATAATTACTTCTGTACTAAAGGCTCCAGAGCTTTAACTATTTCAGGGGCATAGACCATAATGGGATTAATGACAGGTTTGCAGGAAATACAGGACATTTAGTGCATTAGCAAGAATCATAAAGTCCTCCGTAACATCAGTGAGCATTTCGTGACATTCTTTGCTCCCTCCTTCCTGTTTCTTCCATTTCTTCTTTTAATGTCAAGTTGCATAGATACATAATGAGGCAACAGGTGACTTCTTGAGGTCACTGGCCTGACTTCTCCATCTGCACATTTATTTCATAACAAAGTTCTAGTCAGAGACTTCCAACTTTTTAAATTAATTTCACTAATACGGTTGAGAAAGATCAGATAAAACAAACAAGCAAGGAAATAAATCTCTTTTGGTGATGGTTTGAGGAGTCTGTTAACATACAGATGACATCTTCAGATTAGTATAAAAAGATGATTTCTCCAGCATTGTGTGTTATGAAATTCTCTGTATTTACTGGCATGTTCTTTCTTATTACCTAATGGAGTATTAACAGGAGGGAGAGGGCAGTTAACCTTTGCATCTGTACTTTGGCAACTAGCCAATACATTAATAGAGATGATGAAAGCTGTGGAAAATTGCTTATTTCCTACCTTGTTCCAGAGAGAGGATTAAGAGAGTGCAAACTCTCCAGAGACAGCAAAGCTGAGGCTAAAAAAAGGCTGTGAGAGGAAAGTTTAGAAAAGACGTGGGAAATTTTGGGTAGCAGAAAGGCAGAGCTGGGTATACTTCTGCAGACAAGGGATAGCAGTCTAATCTGATGTTGTGATAGGCTTTGTCCTGGTTAGGGAAGGTGACCGTCATGAAGAAGACTCTACAATTCAGGAGGAAAACAAAAGATGAAGGAGGATCCTAGAAGATTTTACAGCAGATTAGACCCCAGCTCAAACAGTTTTTTTAGAGTAGTCAAGAAAATGAGCCTGGATCATGTACTGAGGATTAATTATTTTTCATCTCTGTTTCAGTATTTCCTGTATTTTTAAGTAAATAACAATAGTGTCATGCAGGCTGGTAAATAATTTGTTTTGTGGCAGTTGTCTTATACCTGTCATGTACTTCTGACATAATAAGTCCTGTGCAATCATGAAAGGCATTCCTTAATGTGCCTATACCCCCAGGCAGCAGCCTCTGCCAGTCTTCAAAAGGTGCTCCAGGGTCATCTTCACACCAGGACACTGGGGCTGAAGCTCGCCTGGGACAGCCCTAGAAGGGGCCTGGACAGGGTGTCCCTTTGTCTGAGTCCTTAACTTGGGTTCCTGCCTGCCTTTGTCTCCCTGTGCTCCTCTGGGCTTGTGTAGACAGGCCTTTGACAAGCTGATGGCTACAGTGTTGGGCCTGGGAGTATCTGGGCAAGGCATTATTTGGCGTCTCCCTTCATTGTTTCTCTGTGCTCCTTTCTGGGTGTACAGACAAGCTTTTATCACGTAACCTAAGACATCTTACCATCCTGGTCCCTCTTTGGAGGCTTTGACTCCCCTCTGATCAGGCACATGCTACATTATTCAAAGGGAAAAATGCCACATACGGCATTTTCATTGTAGAGCCAATTCTACTTTAAGCCCTACTTTTCATGGACTCATCCACAGGATCCCAGGGAATGTCTCTCCCCGCCGAGTTTTTTTTTTTGTAGATGGATGATCAGGGGGATTTAGGGTACCTTCATGAATGCATCAGTCTTAATGGATCCATCTTAAATCTTACTAAGTCATTTTGGAGGACTAATTTATGAAAGCCTTCTCCAGAGTTTTACTGAGATTAATGCAGATCATAGGAATAGTTATAGAAACCCACTTCTCATTTACCACCTGAGAGCACAAGTTTTGAGGGTATTGCTTTGTTGTTTCATTTAACAGGGAATGGATCTGCATAAGCAGATCAGTCCACTAAGCAACTGTCAGCTGGCAGTGTCCTGTAGCTATCACAGAAAAGGTCACCAGCCTCCACAGAGAGCTGTGCAGAGCTCCACAATCAGGAAAGACCAGATCTGATAAGCATGGGAAGTCAGAAACCTTTAGAGGCACTGTGGTGGCTTGAACAACAAATACCATTAATCTGGAGATTACCAAATCCTTTAATCTGTTTTTAATCTCCATGTTTTTAAAGCTGCTGCTTTAAATCAGCTGATGTTTTCTGTCAGTCTCCGGGTTCAGTATTTGGCAGGATCAGAGCGTCTTCTTGTGTAACACGTATGGTACAAGGTACACTCCTCCCATCTCCTGGCTCAGGTGTCGTGGCAGATGGCTGTATCAAAGGCTCACATTACTAAATCTTGATCCTGCTTTTTTTTGCCAAGAAATTTAACTACCCTCAAAATCCCTCCTCATGACTTATGTCTTCTAATTGGTTTTTCTCCACTAATACTGTTTTTTTTGGTTCCTAAGGATAAAACATACCTCCAAGGAATAATTGGCCTGACTACCCTCTCTGGCAAATATACACTGGAAATCCTCTGGATTTTCTCTATCAAAGTTTCTTTGGACTATTCTGTGATGAGTGAAGTGTAGGAGTGAAATGAGCTGTCTTTCTATCACAGAAATCCTATTCCAACACTATGCTATTGCATGAGATACATTAATAATTTACATACCATTTTCCCCCTTTTTCCTTCCTTAGGGAATGCGTACTGTCCCAACCCTTTTTTTTGCCAGCAGGTAAAAATACCAATTAAACACATTTTCTTAGCTTCAGTCCATGACAGTTTAATGCCAAGGGAAGGTAAAGGAAAAAAATTATAGCAAGCTGCTTTTTTGTTTTGCTAGGGTGGCTGGTTACACTTCAAGAATCAGCAAAGGTGCTATTTCATGGCACAGCAAATTTTAGCTAATGTCAGTGAAGTGATGCAGGTGGTGCCAACTGGCTGTGCTTTGGCACAGATCTCATTCAACAAATGGATCGAGGAGGAGTCCGCTTGGTTCAGATGACGCCTGCACATAGGTAGTCTTTCTGTATTGACATAGTTTTACAGGAGAGAGGAGATGAAGGGAAAAGCAAAAGGTTTCCATGGACTAAACAAAACTGATGTAAAAATGTAGGGCTAGGACATCCCGCGAGCACTGCAGCATGCCTCAGGGACCAGGTGTGAATCCCTCAGGGCGAGCAAATGGCAAAGGCATACAGGTATGCCGTTGCTGGTCCTCCTGCTCCAAGTGCCCAACAGGCAGCATTCAAAAGATGGAAATAAGAAAGAATGGTATTTAGATGCTTGGCGTGAATTTTTTTGGGGGAACTATTTTCTTGTTCCTTGTGACCCATCCTCTTGCCCGAGACTTGAATATTAAACCTTATATATTAAGCCTAACTTCAGTTTTTCTACTGAGGTCAGTGCAGTCCCCTGAAGTGCATAATAAATGCTAATTATTGTAGCTGAGTTTATATTATTACCAACTCAGTAATGACTGATCAGTTGTTAAACAATGATTGAGCTCTTTAAGGAAAGAACACATCTAATTGAGTCATTTCTGTGTAACCACCAGAAAGCCCAAACTCTGTACTGCAGTCCGAACAATGGCCAAAGAGTGTGTGTGTCCATGTGCCCTCCTGGGCACCAGCTGGAGGGAGCAGTCGGCCACCCTCACAGGACAGTCCACAGCTCAGTCGCTAGTGCACTGAACATTTTCTCTCCCAATCCCAACACGTTTGATCCCATTTCAGTGGGAATGATGAGTGATATAACAAAAAAAAAATCCCAGCAGAGTGAGTACTGGAAAGAGCAGAACTGCCATGAGGAATGTGATTGCGCCGTTTAAACCCCAGCATGCAATTCACGTTGTTCTATTTTGATATATTTTATTTATAAGCTCTGGCTGTAATTACAGATTTTTTTGGCGTGATATTTTGAAGTTAGTTAAGCCCTTTAACCTAGAATGCAATTGCATTTTCTTGGTTTTTTTGTTTGCTTATGTTCAACTTCTGTTGATTTCAAAAGGTTCAAATGACTTAAGGTCTTTGACTGGAGTTGCGTATTTCTTTACAGTTTCAGAAAGAGTAGTCAATTATTGCTCACAGGGTCAAAGAAAAACCCAACCCCCTATTAAAAGGTAATCTGTGGCTCTCTTTTTCTGCATAGCATTTCACACTGTGACGGAGCTTGTGTGTGAGAGAGAGAGAAGAATGGAGAAGTCCAGGAAAAAATTTGCTGATATAATAGATAAGGCAATGGTTACTGCTAACGCAATGAATCGTGACGAACTGCTTTTTTCTTACAAGGGGATTCTCTACCCTGTTACTTTTTGCAGTCCTGAAGTATTCAGAGCCATGGAGTCCCTTGAAGTCAGAAGTGATGATATCATTTTGGCAGGATACCCTAAATCTGGTGAATATAGTTTGCTTTCTTCATAAATAATGTAATGGCAAATAAGTAGGTTTGTACTAAATATATCTAAATTATATTATATGATATATAATATTATATATTATAATAAATAACAGTATTTAGAATTTTCAAAAAATTTTGTAGAACTAATTTTGTTCTCAAAAAGCACAACGAAGTTAATTATGAAGATTTTATATAGGGAATTTTTCAAATGACTGAGAAAAAGACATCTGATTTTCTTTTCTGTAGCATGTAAAGGTTTTTGTTATCTTTACTGTTTATAGTCATGAAGTTAAATGCACAAATGAGAGAGAACTAAAATACAGTTCTCACACCAGAGATAACTAGATCTCCTGATATTGCAGGATCTGCTCTCACGTTTATATTTGTAAAGTTAATAGCTTTCTATTTTCACAAAGAATGCAGCTTTTGGTACCTTCACATGCCGTGCTGCATACTCTTTAGTTTATTTCACATAGATGTCAAGAATATCTGAAATCCGTAACTATCAAAACATTATTTTTGTAACACTTGAAGTGATCACACTGATCTTTGACTATTGGGAAATCAAGAGGAGATCTTTGTTAGGGTTGCGAGTTTACCCTACATCTTTGCTCCTTCTGCCTGAAAGCAGCCTATACTGGCCCATATCAGAGCTACAGGTTTGGATTAGATGTGTCTCATACCCATTTTAACGTAGCTGTTTCTCTCCTCCAGCAATTGGATTCACACTGTCTCACAGTAGATAGTCACAGTTGACAGGATTGTAAAGTTTTTGCTTTTTTGTCATGTTTTCTTTTTGAAGAAATGCTATGCACCAGAATGCAGTTATTAAGACTGTAGTGACAAAGATGTAGGAACCCAGTGTCCAGAAGTCAGGAAATGGTAAACTAAAGATGGGAGTTCTCTACAGGCTCTTTTTTTTGTGTTTTGAAGAAAAATATAATAAATCTGTATAGGAAATATCACTTTAGAGAATTTTTGCCTATTGGTGAAGAAAATGAGCACATACGGCACATTTTTCAGATCTAGTTCTGCTCCTGTGTTGAAGTTCTGTGACCCATCTTTCCTCCCAAGATAATCCTGTGCAGCACGTCAGAAAAAATATATAATATACTAGGTTTTGAGGTACAGGTTTATCACCCCAATCCCCCTTATATTTGTCACACTAGAAATTTATTACATTAATATGTGTTTTCCTGTTTGAATCTTAGTGGTTCTTCTCCTTTATTAGTTAATTTACAATATACAAGTTAATTTACAATATACAAGTTAATTTATGATGTACTGAGCCATTCGAGTTGGAGGAATGTATCCTTATAAAGAGCAAAGGTGTCCTACCTTTGCCTGAGAAGCGATTGTCCAGTTAGTCAGCTGTGATTGTATCACATGAAAGGAGACCAGGCAACTCACCTGGTAGTACTACCTACCTCTTGGCTTTCCTGGTGAATCCATTTCTGTTTATTCTGAAGGTTTTACAAAAAATTCTGTATTTTTCCCCTTTCAGGCACAAACTGGGTAGGTCAAATCTTAAGTGATCTGGTAGCCATATTTGAAAAGAAGATGCAGAATAAAGAAAGCAGCGTGAATGACGAAGAACTAGAAGAGTTCCCCTACCTCGAAATTGGAGATACTGGAAAATATGAGGTGGGCACAGAATATGTATGAAAGTTGTCAAAATTTTGTGCTTCAAATACTGAATATATGGTGCGTGAAATATTCCACTGTTTTATAAGAACTGTCGCACTTCTCTGCATGTGGCGTCTGGTCAGGATGAATCTCATCTGCATTGCCAAGTGCTGGGGGATAAATGGACACTTCAGAGGGCTTGAGAGGAGCACATACTCATTAGATACTCAAGAACTGCAGAAATTCAACGTAGCATGTCTTGTATTTAAGAAGAGTTTCATGAAATGTCAAATACTGAAATACTGGCTTTTGTCTCTTTTACTAGCTCTTGCTCCTTACCCCTTCTCTCTCTCCTTGAGATCCTTCAGCTTTCACATACCCCAGTTAGAGTCTGCATCTTACCTTTAGATTTGATCCCTTGTCTAACAGAACATGTTAAATTCATTATCACTGAAGAGAATTAGCAATGGATAATCTTTTTCCAATCGCTTATTCTCAGGGGCTTTTGAAGATTAGAACTACTCAGAGCAGTCCACTACGATCCCAGGATAACACTCACAAAAAATAAGTACTTCTATCAGCCAATAACTGTTGATAAGTTTAGCAAGGCAATATTTCATCATAGGCTGATGAATAGAATACTTGTACTAACTGAACTGTCCACTTTCCTCCTTCCAATTCTTAAAGCGAATGAACAAATTACCTTCTCCAAGAGTTATATTTACTCATCTCCTTCCTGAAAATCTTCCCAAGTCTATCTTCAAAAATAAAGCCAAGGTGAGTACTGATTTTAATGTCTTGAAAGAAAACACACCAACAGATTTTTTTTTAAAGCCAATTTAGTACTTTTCTGCCAATTTTCAGAATCACTCTTATACTTAAGTGTTTAGCCTGGCCATTTCTACATACTTGTTTAAGTACTGCCATTCATCTCACTTAATCTCAGTTCATCCTTATTGACACCTTTGTGTCAGTCTCCACAAGCGAGATGGCGGGTGGAACAAATCCTCCAGGAGTAAAATGTATTTTGACACAATTTCCTATGGGAAGCATTTTATGGTGTTGTAGTAAGTGAGGGCTTCAGTGTGTCAAGTTTCAGAGAGAATTTGTTTTTTTGTGATTTTTCCACACTACTTAAATGATGAATGATGCTTGTATCAAGCAAAACATACTTAGATTCTGCATAATTGATTTGATTGATCTGTAAAAGATATTTTAATAATTTTAGGCAATCATCTTCACCAGCTACTGAAGCAAAGTGAAATACTTCACCTTCTGAATTTAGAATGAAATTGCTACTTCTGCAAGTAGTATATTCCCCAAACTGTAATTATAAAGTAGATTATTGTTTTCTTCATACTATAGTCTGTTATGTCTTTCTCTACAAATAAAATATTTTATTTTTTTTCTAGATATTGTTGCTGATTCGCAATCCAAAAGATGTAGCTACATCTTTTTACCATTTTTCCAATGGCATGTCTCCTCTTCCCTCCTATGAGACCTGGGATGATTTCTTCGTAGCTTTCATGACGAAGAAAAGTACAGTATATTCTTCTGTCTGTGTCAATTATTCAATGCTTTGACTTTGTCTAAAAACCTTGCACTTTGTAAATCAGCTTCACTAGGATTTTTTGGTTTACAGTACAAAAGCAGAGACTAAAGACAGAAAGTTAGAAATTTGAACTAACGTTTACAGTACTTGTCTTACTGCCTGAGGATAAATCCTTATCAAAACTGCACTTCCACAAACTGCTTTAACTTGCACAAACTGATATTTTCTCTGGAAGAAGCAGTTCCTCCTTATCTCTATCTTGGATCCCCTTCACCCTTTCTCTCCAATGTCCATCATCTTGTGCCCACGCAGATGCCTGAACACCTACATGCCAAATTGGACCAGAGGAATGATTTGGACTAAGTCTAATGCATTAAAAAAGAAAGAAAATAATCCTACTAGTTTAAAACTGCATAAATTCTTCAATTTGGCATATCACATGGCCAGCAGAAGGAGGGCTAAACAAGGTTTTAAACTGGATTGAGGGAGTCTGCAAGATCGTTTGAGTACTGATAGCTCTTCGGTGGACTCACATCTGTCTTGAAATGCTAACAAGTTTTACCGTACCGACTTACAAATTGTATCATATGCCTGAAACATGTGCATGTGTCAGAACAGCCTGGAGCAAAACCCCATAATTCCCATAGAAGGGTGTAAACTCTGGCATAGACATGATTAATAATGCCCATGGCTGAGGGATCAAGTTAAGGAGTAAAAATTGATTTATTTCATAAGGAGCTTGTATAGTCTTCATTTGTGCTTCATCTTAGGATTCTTTTGGTTTATTTAGTGCCCTGGGGATGCTACTTTGAACACCTTTCTGAATGGAACAAATATGCTGATGATGAAAATGTTATGACAATAACTTACGAAGAGCTAAAAAAGGTGAGGTTACCAATAGTTACAAATATTTTATACTTCAAAGAGCATTTGTTCCTAAACCAATTAACCATTATATTCATGTAGTGTATTCAAACTGCGTGATACTGTATGAGATAGATTCCTTTTTTAAGAGAAGCAAAGGTGAAATGCAAACTTAAAAGCCTTTTTAAAATTTTGTTTGTGAAAATGATTCTTGTTTTCTCTTTAGCTGTGATATAAGCCCAAATCACTGTAAATCAAAATCCCCAGTAACTTTTTTGGGGGAGCTTTTATGTATTCAACAGTGTAGATTTTGCTCAACTGTAAATCACGTGCAATCTTTTGTGATCTATAGGCAGACAGCTCATATCTCTCTGAAATAATTATGGAGAAGAGAACCACTATGTACTACTCCAGTCCTACTGAACTCTATGAATATTCTATATATGTAGCCAGCAGAGAGATGTAGGGAAGCGCCAACACCTCAGAAAGCACTGTAATTTGTTCAAATGTCATGTGTTATGCTACATTCCTTTTTTCAGAATCCGGTCCTGGGTGTGGAAAACATAGCTGCTTTCCTTGGGATTTCCCTGACTGAGAAAGAGCTTCAGAGCGTGGCAGAGAGGAGCAGCTTCCAGTCAATGAAGAAGAATGCGCAGAAGACCCATGGGGCATTTGGCAATGTTCTCTTTCGCAAAGGTAGGAAGCTCCAAGAGGTCCAGAGGTAGAAATGTCACACTCCTAAGAACCTGGGCCACCCATCCATCCTTTGCTTCTTTTTTGCGCACATATTAGCATTACAGATTAGTATCAAGCAGGTTATATCACTGTTATGCTTGAGAAGACCAGTCAAGGAGCACTGGTGAGGAAGTGACCCAGCAAGGCTCTGGCAGCAGGCTGCAGACAGCACAGGAGAAGCAACCACACAGCAAATTTTAGAGGCCCACAGATGACTGGCAGGAAGGAGGAACTGTCATGTGTCTGAACTCCTCTCCACCTCTGCACCAAGATCACTGATTTTTCAGCCATTAGAGGCCTGCCTGAGCAGGCAAAACTGGGCCAAACTCAGCCTGAGTGGCATGATCACACTTTTTAGGAGGGTGTAGGATCTCCTGAAAGGGCCACTGCCAACCCCCTGTTCAGACTTACGGGTTAGAAGTACGCCAAGCATGCAAGAGTCAGGTACATAGAGAAGGGGAAACAAAAGGGAACTACTTTTGCAGTGTGGTGTAGGGGACGCAGACATGAGAGGGCCAACCTGGCTCTCAGAATCTATTTCTGCATTTTACATTAAAGAAGTCACTGGATAAAAACTCAAGCTGCCAAGGGAGCAGAAACCCAGCTCTGCCTCCTGCCAGATGATTCTTAATCAAGCCTTCATGATCTTCCACCTTGTCAGTCATAACTGACTGGAGTAGAGAGCTGCAGGGAAACAGGACTTTAGGCTGCTTTTTTGGACACAGTCACCTGAAGAGGAGTATGTTCTTTTGCATTATAGCAGTTTCACAGATCTGTAGCTCCACTGACTTCACAAAATTATATTGGTGCAAAAACGAGTGAAGTTTTGTCTTGAAAAATGGATCAACTCCATTTAGTGTACAATGGAATAAGAATGACAGATCTATAGAATAATAAAAAAAAAAATTTCTTGTTTTTCAAGAGTTTCTTTGCTTCTTTGAAGGTGGTATAAGTGACTGGAAGAATCTTTTCAGTGAAGATCAGAATGAGAAAATGGACAAAGCATTTGAAGAACATATAGGAGGAACTAAACTGGGAACAAAGTTAAAGTATGAAGTGTACTGTAAAGCCTGAAGAGTAATCAAATGTGGTTAGAGCAAGAGCTTTCCAATGCACTCTCAGATCATATGAATGCTATATACTAGAAAGCTAGATCAAATGATCCAAGTGCCTTAGAATTACTGTAATAATCACGTTGCAGCAGCCTTTACAGTGACAATGATGAATAATAGGCTTTTGTTTTAAAGGTGAGATCTTTGGCTTGCTTTGGCTACACTCATTTGCTGAATAAGATGGCAACTAACCGTATTCAGGTAAACTTAACGGCCCTGTTTCAGTAGCTGTCACCTGGAAGGAAATGCCCCTTTACTCTTTCTAGCCAAATTCAGTCTTTTTGGACTACTTATAATTATTTAGTATGTAGAAATTTTTTTTTTGCAAAAATGTTTCAAATCGGGCAACGTCTTCACAGAAAAGATCACTAGCAAAAATATGGATCTGACACAACCTTAATTAATGACAAAGGATATCTTCCCCATGACTTCAGCACAAACTGCATCAAAGCTAGAGGGAGGAGAATGAAGGGGAATGGCGATCAGCATTCTTAGGGGTTTTAATCTCTCTGAATGCAGAATTTCAGGATGGATTTCAGATTATGGGCTGGTGTTAACAAGTTGTACCAGGAGAGGTTTCATCTCGATATAAGAAATAAATTCTTTACAGTGAGAACAATCATTCACCGGAACAACCTCCCCAGCGATGTGGTAGAGTCCTCATCACTGGAGGTTTTCAAGATGCAATAATCTCATCTAAGCCCCCTTTCCTATGAAGTGTTGTACCAGATGATGTTTCAAGGTCCCTTCTAACCTGGGCTGTTCTATGATTCTATAAAAGCAGTGCCTCTGAGTGGATCTTGCCTGTTAACACCAGCCCATAATCTGAAACTGCTTTTATGTTTTCCATGCTCCAGCCATAAAATGGGAAAAGAAAATGTAGTGAATATAGAAGATGATGTTTCCCACCATTAATACTAGTGGAGCGCTCTTACCACAAAACTACAGTTAGCATTCCCTCTGTTCATTCTTGATTTACATGTGTGCCTACAGTTAAGCTTTAACTTAAATCAATACTTAAACACTGACATAGATTAATTTCCATAACTGGAAATTCTCTGAAACTGAAGATGCCGAAATTCGCTGAAACTGGCTCTAGTGAGAAAATGGGATTGTCAAGGGTGATGGTGCAAGACATTACTATACTCACCTATTTTGTACTGGCATTGGTATTTGGCACTGTGGACCTGTCCAGCGACCAACTGCACTTCAGCCACCTGTTCTGGAAAAATAGCAAAATATGGTTCTTTAAGTATAGTTGAATTAAAAACCGGAAAAAACCACACCCAATTTATAGATCCATCACCTAAGCAGATAAGAAGTAAAAATAAAAGATACAATAGGAAAGAGTAAAGTATTCAATGACTTTTTGCTTTGTTCTTCTAAAGCTGGTTAATTCTGCCTGGACATGGAGAAATGCAGAGTTTTGCAAAGAAATAGGAATGCTAGAAATAATACTTAAATTTTTTTAAAAAATGAATGGATTCAAAAGCAGAGCATCTGAAAGTCCTGACACAAGCCACCTTTGAACAACTAGAAATTATCTGTAAGAATCCAGAAAGGTACCAGATGCCTGGAGGAGGACATACATAATAGCTGTGTTTAATAACGTGAGAAAGAAGAATCAAAATAGAGCAGTCATCTTAACTCGATACCTGGAAATTTACTTACAAAAATGACCAAGCAACCAACCGTGAAACATTTTGAGGATAACAAGGTGGTAAGTATAAACTATGTCAAAGCTGTTCATGTTCCTTCTTTAAAAGAAAACTTACCTCTTGAATAAGCCATAGACAGAAGATACAATAGATGACAGCATCAGAGAGGTTCTGAAATTATATGACAAAAGAGACACAATCTAGATCAACAAACTTATGGCTTCATATGTGGAGATGGCAACTTACAAATGTGGTTATAGAAATGAAATTAAAGTACTGAAAGTAGATTTGTGTTCCTAGAAATTCATACAACAGTTACAAAAGGCATCCAGAAGCAGGGTCATCAGCAGCAATACTTTCAGGAATATCCACTTGCTTACATGTCTGTTATGAACTTGGTTGCAATAGTGTGCTTATGGTCAAACTGCATATACTGGATGACAGCAAAATTGGGAGGACAATTAAAGCAATATCCTTTAGTGGTGAGTCTTGGTCATATTCAACATTGTTCTTAACACTGGTGGACAGACTATTATCTGTATCATATATGGCTAACTTTTAAGTCTGGGGATCAGAACAGAGGGCTGGAGAAAGTACTGGGGAAAATGGGGAAACAATTCAAAACATCATAATAAATTGAGAAGAAGATTGGCAATCATGAAGTTCAGGAAAGGTAAGTGTAAAATGCTACATTTAGAAAAGAGAAACCAAAGGCACAAGTACTTAATGGGGGCAAACTAGTCAAGCAGCAGTTGGCATGAAAAGACCTGAGGAATCACACTCAGCAAGGGCTAACATGGTGAAAGTGCTGGAAAAAAAAAGGTTAGATCTTATTCTGGTTTACAGTAACAGGAGGATCATACCTAAGACACAGGCAATAACTATTACAGCCTGTGGTTGCAGATCAGTCTAAACTGGAGAATGCTGCTTAGGGAGGCTGCAGAGAAATTTAAGGAAGCATCTGGCAGGGAGAAGATAAGCATGCTTGATACTTTAGCAGTACGGGGGGAGGACTAGAAAGTCATATTGACTGACACAATAGCACTGGTTTTCAAACTTTATCATTGCTAGTTCCTTACCAATTGTCCAAAAAAAAAAAGTATCTTTCTTTCTTGTCTAGTCTGTTTTGTTACCTATGATTCCTGAAATGATATATTTCCATTTCCAATGCTTACATTGTATTTCTGTCTATTTGCTTTAAAGATGATGAAGAAACCAGAAAAATTATACTAACCCATCTCCCACCTCATGTCCTTTCCCCAATCCATTTTCCAAAACAAGGCTAAGGTGAATCTTCGGCTAAGGTGAACCTTCTCTTTGTGTTGTACTGCAAATGCTCCTGCCAACAGCATTTCCATCCAAGACAGATTTTCATGTAGATGAATTGAACAACTCAGAGTTTTCCCTGGGGACCATGTGAGCTGTGCCACAGTCGTACAGCCTTCCTGTGGGGTCACCTGCTTACCCCGAGACACTCGGCTGCTGGGCAGACAGCGCTGGGACTGGGACTCCTGGCACCCTCAGGACACCTGGTTCCTCTGATCCTCTCCTGAGGGACAGGGCTGCTCTGAGCCCTCACCTTTGCAGCTCCTAAGCAGTCTGCCAGATGGCTGTGACAGCATCGAGGGCCCCACTCATGAGCAGAGATCAGGGTCCAAGGGTTAAAGGACCCAGAGGCACCCGTGTCCCAGTGGCTCAGGTGACAAGTTGTTAGATTTCATGTTGAGGTGTTACAGTGATCTGGCTTCCTCAGGATTCAGGCAGCTGGCTCTGGAGGCAGGAGGAAAAATGCTAATTTCTTGATGCTGTTACTCTTTAGTATTGGCAAATGGGAGGAGATTTTCCTTTGCAACTCAGAGTAAACACATGGACAGAAAACTGAAAACAGTAACAAAGCTGGCAGTAGGCATAATATATGAATGGTGTCTCCAGTTTTTGTGAGTAAAATAGCACTGCTAGAGAAAATATTTTCAATAAAATGGTCTATTTTGATGGTTCTGCATTTTGCAAGACCAGAAAAATAATTTTAAATGATTCTTTGTAGGTAACTGTAAGCAATCTTCCAGGTCTTAACAGTTGTGCTTTTGATTTGACACTTCCTCATGTTTAATTAAGCTTGTGTATAGGTTTACTAAGTGTCTAATATCCGTTTATGAAGAAAGAGACAAGGATGTGATGCACAGGAGTGTGGAGCTCTCTGTGGGTTTGATATATGGGTAGTGGACAAGACCCATACTTTATTCAAGGGTGTGAAAGAAAGAAAGAGTGAAAGGCGCCTCCACAGGGGTCTACCTACACATCCCAGGTGGTGTTGAAAACTGAGACTCGGGCCTCCAAGGCCAGTCCCTCACACACCAGTTTTGCCAGGTTGCAGAGGCCAAGACAGCGAAGCCTGGTGCAAAGATGGTGACAGGAGCTTGATGGTCTGGTGGTTTGGTTGATGACCCCTTCTGCTGCCAGTTATGGAAGCCTAGCTGGAGGCTGGGAATGAGGCCAAACTGTGTTGGTCATGAAAAGGCTGTAAACTGAAGCTGGTCAGGAGGAGGGAACAGAGTGTTCCCAAAGACAGCACTGTGGAAAGAGAGCAGAAACAGCCAAGGGATGACTCAGTTGGCCCTGTGCTGGGAGCTCCACTGCTCTTGAGTAATTTCCACAGGGAGTAGTTTGAGGTGACCAAAAAGTGCCAGAGCTGGAAAGAGCAATAGAGGTCTGCTTCTGTTTCCACTGAGGGAAGGGGTGTGCTTCTGAAGCGAGCAGGGTAGCACTCCACAATGTCTGGCTGACAGCTCTGTCCCTGTTGGCTTTTGGCATACCTGTGTTGATTATTGCCCGGTGTCATGGTTTAACCTCAGTCAGCAACTAAGCCCCACACAGCCGCTCACTCACTCCCCCCACAATGGGATGGGGGAGAGAAACAGAATGGTAAAAGTGAAAAAAGTCGTGGGTTGAGATAAAGACAGTTTAATAGGTAAAGCAAAAGCTGTGAGTGCAAGCAAAGCAAAACAAGGAATTCATTCACTACTTCCCACCGGCAGGCAGGTGTTCAGTCATCTCCAGGAAAGCAGGACTCCATCATGCATGACAGTCACCTGGGAAGACAAACACCGTAACTCCGAACGTCCCCCCTTCCTTCTTCTTCCCCCAGCTTTTTTTGCTGAGCATGACATCATATGGTATGGGATGTCCCTTTGGTCAGTTGGGGTCAGCTGTCCCAGCTGTGTCCCCTCCCAGCCTCTTGTGGCCCCCCAGCCTACTCGCTGGTGGGGCAGTTTGAGAAGCAGAAAAGGCCTTGACTCTGTGTAAGCACTGCTCAGCAATAA